CAAACAAGCCAGGCTATTTAAATGCCATTGGGAGAAAGATGCGGCCTGCTCTAATTTACATATCTATTCAGACCATTACTCCTTTCTTGATTGAGCCAGAAAAAGGTTTTCTTTCCTCTTCCAGGCTCTCCATGCAGAGCTGGAGAACCATATGAAAAGCTAAATTTCTGTTGTAGTAAAAAGATGTAAGTCAGGCTGGCCGAGTGGCTCAGTTGGTTAAGAGCTTGCTCAAGAGTGTGAGCTCTGAGCAGCTAGCAGTTCAATTCCCAGCCCAAGCTAAGCTGTCGCTGAGCTGCCAGAATGGCTCAGCTAAAAAAAAAAAGATGTGTCATCAAGTCCCTACAGACATGGAGAATTAAAAAGACTATATAACTTGCAGTATGCGTTCACTCATCATTACATCGCAAATGTCATGTGTTGCTGGCCACTAAATGCTAAATTCTCCCAAAGGCTACTCATAAATTCTCCCAACTGCCAAACAATACAACATCTTTTCATCATCAGGTCGCAGTTAAATAAGAAAACAATTCGATGTGGGCAGGGGAAATGACCCAAAATGATGAATCGATCCCTTCCAGCACTAGTTCCCACTCATGTGAAATATGGATTAGGTCACAAATAAGATTATATTCATCACCAAGCCCCATGGGTCTGCTATGATTAAAGTTAAAGGAGTCCAGAAACTTCTCAAGTTGAAGAACTAGGGCTGAGTTGGGTTGAAATTTCCAACCCCTCCCTGAAGACTTGGCAACCTGTTTCAAATCACAACTGAAACCAAGTTGAAGGGACATCTGTTTCTCCAGAAAGTGTTTGGCATTGCAGAGAAGAGCTACAGATTAGAATAGATAAATATTGCTGCAGGCAGGATCAAGGAAATTAGAATCATCTACCTGCTCCCAAACTAGTGTAACTCAATGAACACCACGGGAGGGGGGTGGGGACAAAAGGGAAGAAAGAAAGGAAGGCAGAAAGGAGGAAGGGAAATAAATGGGAGAATTATTCTTTTTCCTAATAGGAGTTGACACTTCAGTGAACAAAACACTGCTACATTTGAGATCAATATTCAGACAGCCACTTTGTATCTGATGATTTAATACTGGATTGTCTGCAAGAGGAAAGGCAGTGAGCACTCTGCTTGGAGTTTGGTAATAAAGGCTATGCATTCAACTTAAATATTGAGGCATCATTTTCTAAGCCTTAAGGGACCACCAGGTCATTTTATGAGAAGATATTACAGGTTTTCCTCTGATCCCTAGATCTTGTAACGCAAGTTAGAGTAACACATAGTATCTATTGAACTTCTAATCCCGGTTTCCGGAGTTAATAAGGTAAAGATAACAGAATGAGATCAGTAGGTAACTGAATTATATTTTTTTACACTAGAAACTTAGGGTTCTGAAATTTTTCTTTCAAAATCAGCCCTGGTTATTATTAACAACAACAAGAACAATAGCAGTAATAGTAGTATTAGCGATGAGAGTAGTGGTGATGGTAATAGCACTAGTAATGGCAGTAGTAAGAATAGCAGTAGTAATAGTAATGATAATAATACTAACCATTATACTGTACTTCCTAAGTTCTAGGTACTATTATAAACATTTTAAATATAGTGCTAACTTATTTAATCCTCACTGCACTCCTATGTGGTAGGTAAGCTATTATTAGTACTCCTGTTTTAACAGATGCTTTTAACAATATCTCTTTGTTATTTTTGTTGTTATAAACAACTAGAGCTAGCTTTCAAAGAAAATAGTTGGAACTAACAGGCGAGGAAACACAGCCTTGGGCAGCCTGTCCAAGGTCACACAGCTAGAAGGCCAGAGACCCAGGATTCAAAGCTAGGTTGCCCAACCCCAAAGTCTGACCTAACCACAGTGCGATACTTACTGCCCCTTTGCTTAGGATGGCCTTCTACAAAAGGAATGTGGAAGGAAGTTAGTCAGGTCCCTGCCTGATGGAAGCCAGAGTGAATACTTGAAGTTTGCTGTTTCCTTTAGAAGTCTCCCCAAAACCCGCACTGAGACATGCAGCCTGTTCCTACAGCTATAAAAAGTCCCTGCGAGAGTTTACAGAGCTGTTCCCACATGGTCTGTGACCTCCATGAGGGCTTTCACCTTTGCCAGCGAAGGCAGAAGCTGGGTGGGGAGGGAGGGTGAGGTGCGCGCAAGGTTCCCAGGCCACCATTTCCTGCCCAGTGACACAATCCCCAAATAGCCAAGGCTGCAGGCCGAGAAATTCCTCACTAACAAGTTATCTCCGGGAGTTTGTTTCTTGACTTTTCTCACCAACCTGAGACTCAAGGAAGACTAAGGACTGAGCGGGAGAGACAAGCGGCAAAGTTTGTTTATTAACCTGCTACACCCAAGGGAACATTTTTCTGAAAGGGTGAAATTCTTGACTACTGAAAAGAGAAAAAAAAGGCCTGTGGGAAATTTAATCACCAACTGAACAAAAGTGAAAAACAAAGCCCTGCCAATGAGGATGTTGCCGAAGACAATGGGGCCCCTAAAGGAGGTGCAATTGTCTCGAGATAACAATCCCCCCGGGGAATGCAGCTCATACTAAGTACTACATTATTGCTATATTGGCCCAGGAATCTTTGTTCACCCGGCAACTGCGCGCAAAGCCATCTGTTACTGCTCCTGGGTTTCCCCCGGTTTGCAGACACAGCATTTACATTTCAAGAGGAACCTCGGGGAAGGATGGAGGGGGGGCGGGGGCTCTATCTCTCCCTGGAGCAAATACCCTTTTATACAGCCTGGGAGGGGAAGCTCTCCTTTCCGTGAAACCAAACTCCTCAATTGAAAGGAGATAGGCCGCTTCAATAATGCACACACAGAACAGAGCCCACGGCCACTTAGTCATAAAACCACGCATGCCCCATTCGGGTTTCCATATTCTCAAATTGGTGTACACGGTCAAGTATCAAGAATAATACCAAACTGTCGGCAGGGCCTAAATCGGAGACTCTCTTTTCTTAAGGATGCCCCTATTCCTTTTAAACCTTTGGAACCAGGACACAAGCTGATATTCCGGCCTGCCTAATAATTACCTTGAAATATACTACCACTTCAAAACAGGCGGTGATCTTCTGGGCTGAAGGAGATGTTTTAGATCTTGATCTCGGTTGGGACTAGAGTAGTATATACATATGTCAAAATCATGGAGGTATGCACTTAAGAGCTGTGCACCTTCCTGTGTGTAACTTAAACCACAATACATTTTTTAAAGCAGAGTATGTCAATGTCACTCACAATTAAGGAAACTGGAAATAAGCCACTTGCCTTCAAGAACTGTAAGAGTGCTCTCCTCTCATATCCTCCCCTCACCACCATCCACATCCAAAGTCTCTCCTGAGGGTTTTAAAGTTCAAGAACATGAAAAATACAGTTCCCCAGCTCTCAACTGAGGCAGTGACTACAAATGTCTCCTGTGCGTCCTGTGAGCACAAGTATGCGGTAAAGAGGGACAACCCGTCACACCCCAAGGCACATATCAAAAATAAAATGCCAAGGTCTTTTTCTCACCTGATGATGAGCTATCAAGTTATGAGAGACATGATTGAGGCTTTTAGCAAGAGCGTCTGGGGTTTATTCTTCTGTTTCTTTAACCCTATTTTTAAATGGATGTTTCTAAACTCTGCCTAACACCCGTCCTTACGTGAAGCAGGTTAACCCTGTAAGGTGCAGGCCTCTCTGCTGTATGTAGCATTAGAGCAACATTAAGTGAGCATGGTTTCCGCAGGCAGCTCAGCACGGTTTAAATCTGTACCGCTGTAGCTGTTACCCCGGCAGCATCCTGAGATCTGCGGTGCCACAAGGGGATGTCACTAAGTGACAGTCTGATTACTAAAAGGCTTCACCATTGCTGGGTCATGCCTTCGCAGTGCATCTCTTCTTTTGAACTACCAGCCAAGGGGGGGGGGGGCTGCCTCGCACCGAGGAAAAGAGGGTCAAATTCGCCTTCCAATAAGCCTCAAGAAAGGCCGCTGGAGAAACAGGCGCATTACACGGCTCATAGCGGGTCACCTTTCCTCCTCCTCTCCCTCCCCGCCCCCCTCGCGCCCTTCAAGTGTCCCGACCCCCATAGATACATCATTTCGGGAGCACAGGGCCACCAAGCTGCAGCTACCTAGATAGACATCGAGAATCAGGATCACCCTGAGAGCGCTTCCTGGACTGAGCCGAGAGCTCCAGTGATTTCCCTGGCCTGCCACCGAGTCATTTAAGAAGTGAAATATGCCAACGGGGCCGGGTATCCGGCACCTGGGAGCCTGCCCCGCCGCCTCTGGGGTGGATTGGGGGCTGCCAGAGGCTGGGCAACGTCTCTGCGGATGGCACGCTCGCAGGTGGGTCTTGCAAGACTCCCCGGCCCCGCACGCTGTGCCAACCTCACACCTGACCCGGTGCCAGGAACACGGCCAGAGGCTCTGGTGGGTATGCGCTTCCGTGGAGACACTGCCAACTCCGATCTGGACAGGCAGGGAGGGGGCCAAGAGGCGGAAGGCAGAACGGGGTTCAGGACACCGAAAATGCGGCGTCCGCAAGGACTCTGGGGGCCCGCGCTTCCTGAGCCTTTGCGGTGCTTCTGCTCGCACTGCGCTTTCTTTAGCAGCGCCTGGAAGCGGCGGGAGCTGAGATTTGCGCCGCTGGCTGTTGGGAGGGATGGAGGCGCAAGACACCGCTTCCTGCCCCCCACACGCACAGCTAGACTGCAGTGCTCACCGTTCGCACCCACCCTCACTCGAGACTCCAGTGCCAAAGCGCCAGAAGATCGCAGCTTGCCCGAGGCCCTGGCGGGTGACCCCTGAGCATATGGCAGGGGGAAAAAACGGGGTGGGGGAGGGCGAGGCTGGACCTGTCGTCCGTACGTGGGGG